TTTGACGACCCGGTACCAGAATCGGCCATTTTGGATGGGCGGAAATGACTTTGGTCTGTCGCCTTAATTTATTAATTAATTAATTTTACGCGGAGACAGACTCTCGCGTGTGTTTAGGGGACCGGGCCTAGGGAGTAATTTCTTCTCCGTTCGGCGCGATCACCAGGGTGAATCAGACCTGACGGGCGGACTGATTGATCTGGGACATTTTCTCGAGCGCCCCTGCACGATCCGGAGTTTAGCGGGCCGGACTCACCGTTATTCACCCTGGCTAATGCCAAGGGCCAGCGGTGGGATTCGAACCCACATCTACCCATTACCAATTCGACCAAGCATGGGATCGATCCCATGACCACCGAATTGACAAGCGAGTGCTCTACCAATTGAGCTACGCTGACGTCACCTTAATTTATGACAGGCATTGGTTTCGAGGCATGCTTCATGTTTGACATAATGTCATGGGTCTGCCTTCCTTTCTTACATGTGGCCGGCTACCGAGCGAGGCCATGTAGACACATGTGCGCCTGCAAGCCGTACACGTGGGATTCGACCAGTTGTGCTGCCCGGCAAGGGCAGCGCATACTTACCATGCGTTGATACCAATTATTGTGTTGTTGTCCAGGCCATGTATTCGCTATAGTCTAGGCGGTTAGGATACGAGATTCTCACTCTCGAGACCCGGGTTCGAATCCCGGTAGCGAAACGCTTTTTTCCTTGGATATGACAGTGTTTCTCACAGTAGGGAATCATGATGCCGGCTGGGCAGCTGTGTAAGGTTGCGTGCGCATTTGTAAGCGGTTAAAAAGTGTATCAATTGACTCCTTCCTCGTCTGTCTCTCTGGCCAGCGACATGCATACCTTTTAAAACCCTCACAACAAGCATAAATAGTGTCCACACCTTTTGATTGCACTTCTAGATGAGGCCGGCTCAACGTAAGGTGGGCAGTTTCGGAGAAGTAAAGGTGCAGAAATTCTGTACTCCGTGGATTAGTTCAGGGAGGAAACATTTCAGTATGTATAGGTGTGGGTTCAAACCGCACCATCGTCAAAGACATATGGATGCCAAACTCCTTCATTCAGGATAGGCACATGTATGAGCAAGTACATGAGGAAGCAATGCGATGCCCATCAATGAACACGTCACGTAAAAAGGGAACAAAAGGCCCATGCATGCGGTAGCTAAAAGCCTTTGCCTAAGCCGGCCCTTTTACAGGAAATCCCCAGAAAGAAAGTACCATGAAAGAAATTCAGCAGCCGGCCCAGGTATGTGCGGGTATGTTTTAAATCCCATGTGTGGATTCCAACCAGAGGATGGCCGCAGCACAGTGTTGCGGCCTGCATTCCTTGCCAGCAACACATGGGTCAACACACATGATGCGGTTGCAACTATTCTGCATGTATTCAGGATGAGGACTTTTATTTCGATGAGCAGCGGCTCCATGGCCCAATGGTGGAGCAGAGGATTCCAAATCCGAAGGTTGTGGGTTCAAGTCCCACTGGGGTCAATAGGGGTTTTAATGGGTGAGACTCATCACCCAGGTATTTCAAAGTCAAAAAGTAGAACATTAGTGAAACGTTCTATTGTAGGGTCTTCTATGTTTTTCATGCCTGCAAATATTGCAGTATTGGTTAATGCGTGCAGCAGCTATTAAGAGCCTTGCCTAAGCCGGCCCTTGACAGGAAATCCCCAGAACCATTCCATGAAAGAAATTGACAAGGGCAACTGGAGAACGCACTCATTGGGCTTGGGATAAGTTTATATTTAATAAGATAGTAATCTATATGGACTGCCAATTTTACAATCATGGACGGTGCACATAAGCTGTACAACACCCTCGAGTAGAAGCACGGTGAAAGGTGACCACCATACAGTGCTTTTCTTTGCTTTGGCACCCTTCAAAGTGTCATGATAGGCCGCCGCATCAACCTCACACGTGCCATAAGTGTATGTATCCTTCTTACTAGTGTCTTTGACGACCCGGTACCAGAATCGGCCATTTTGGATGGGCGGAAATGACTTTGGTCTGTCGCCTTAATTTATGACAGGCATTGGTTTCGAGGCATGAGAAAAGGACGACACTAGAATCTCCTAAACGCTCATCGATGATTCTTCTCTAAGTTCTAATAATTCTACTAAAATTATATTCTAAAAGAGCTGCATCCCTATGCCAGACTAGGTCATCATATCCTGAAATACACAAGTAGGGATGGGTGCTTCATGTTTGACATAATGTCATGGGTCTGCCTTCCTTTCTTACATGTGGCCGGCTACCGAGCGAGGCCATGTAGACACATGTGCGCCTGCAAGCCGTACACGTGGGATTCGACCAGTTGTGCTGCCCGGCAAGGGCAGCGCATACTTACCATGCGTTGATACCAATTATTGTGTTGTTGTCCAGGCCATGTATTCGCTATAGTCTAGGCGGTTAGGATACGAGATTCTCACTCTCGAGACCCAGGTTCGAGTCCCGGTAGCGAAACGCTTTTTTCCTTGGATATGACAGTGTTTCTCACAGTAGGGAATCATGATGCCGGCTGGGCAGCTGTGTAAGGTTGCGTGCGCATTTGTAAGCGGTTAAAAAGTGTATCAATTGACTCCTTCCTCGTCTGTCTCTCTGGCCAGCGACATGCATACCTTTTAAAACCCTCACAACAAGCATAAATAGTGTCCACACCTTTTGATTGCACTTCTAGATGAGGCCAGCTGGCCTCATCTAGCTCAACGTAAGGTGGGCAGTTTCGGAGAAGTAAAGGTGCAGAAATTCTGTACTCCGTGGATTAGTTCAGGGAGGAAACATTTCAGTATGTATAGGTGTGGGTTAAACCGCACCATCGTCAAAGACATATGGATGCCAAACTCCTTCATTCAGGATAGGCACATGTATGAGCAAGTACATGAGGAAGCAATGCGATGCCCATCAATGAACACGTCACGTAAAAAGGGAACAAAAGGCCCACACATGCGGTAGCTAAAAGCCTTTGCCTAAGCCGGCCCTTTGACAGGAAATCCCCAGAAAGAAAGTACCATGAAAGAAATTCAGCAGCCGGCCCAGGTATGTGCGGGTATGTTTTAAATCCCATGTGTGGATTCCAACCAGAGGATGGCCGCAGCACAGTGTTGCGGCCTGCATTCCTTGCCAGCAACACATGGGTCAACACACATGATGCGGTTGCAACTATTCTGCATGTATTCAGGATGAGGACTTTTGTTTCGATGAGCAGCGGCTCCATGGCCCAATGGTGGGGCAGCGGATTCCAAATCCGAAGGTTGTGGGTTCAAGTCCCACTGGGGTCAATAGGGGTTTTAATGGGTGAGACTCATCACCCAGGTATTTCAAAGTCAAAAAGTAGAACATTAGTGAAACGTTCTATTGTAGGGTCTTCTATGTTTTTCATGCCTGCAAATATTGCAGTATTGGTTAATGCGTGCAGCAGCTATTAAGAGCCTTGCCTAAGCCGGCCCTTGACAGGAAATCCCCAGAACCATTCCATGAAAGAAATTGACAAGGGCAACTGGAGAACGCACTCATTGGGCTTGGGATAAGTTTATATTTAATAAGATAGTAATCTATATGGACTGCCAATTTTACAATCATGGACGGTGCACATAAGCTGTACAACACCCTCGAGTAGAAGCACGGTGAAAGGTGACCACCATACAGTGCTTTTCTTTGCTTTGGCACCCTTCAAAGTGTCATGATAGGCCGCCGCATCAACCTCACACGTGCCATAAGTGTATGTATCCTTCTTACTAGTGTCTTTGACGACCCGGTACCAGAATCGGCCATTTTGGATGGGCGGAAATGACTTTGGTCTGTCGCCTTAATTTATGACAGGCATTGGTTTCGAGGCATGAGAAAAAGACGACACTAGAATCTCCTAAACGCTCATCGATGATTCTTCTCTAAGTTCTAATAATTCTACTAAAATTATATTCTAAAAGAGCTGCATCCCTATGCCAGACTAGGTCATCATATCCTGAAATACACAAGTAGGGATGGGTGCTTCATGTTTGACATAATGTCATGGGTCTGCCTTCCTTTCTTACATGTGGCCGGCTACCGAGCGAGGCCATGTAGACACATGTGCGCCTGCAAGCCGTACACGTGGGATTCGACCAGTTGTGCTGCCCGGCAAGGGCAGCGCATACTTACCATGCGTTGATACCAATTATTGTGTTGTTGTCCAGGCCATGTATTCGCTATAGTCTAGGCGGTTAGGAAACGAGATTCTTACTCTCGAGACCCGGGTTCGAGTCCCGGTAGCGAAACGCTTTTTTCCTTGGATATGACAGTGTTTCTCACAGTAGGGAATCATGATGCCGGCTGGGCAGCTGTGTAAGGTTGCGTGCGCATTTGTAAGCGGTTAAAAAGTGTATCAATTGACTCCTTCCTCGTCTGTCTCTCTGGCCAGCGACATGCATACCTTTTAAAACCCTCACAACAAGCATAAATAGTGTCCACACCTTTTGATTGCACTTCTAGATGAGGCCGGCTCAGCGTAAGGTGGGCAGTTTCGGAGAAGTAAAGGTGCAGAAATTCTGTACTCCGTGGATTAGTTCAGGGAGGAAACATTTCAGTATGTATAGGTGTGGGTTCAAACCGCACCATCGTCAAAGACATATGGATGCCAAACTCCTTCATTCAGGATAGGCACATGTATGAGCAAGTACATGAGGAAGCAATGCGATGCCCATCAATGAACACGTCACGTAAAAAGGGAACAAAAGGCCCACGCATGCGGTAGCTAAAAGCCTTTGCCTAAGCCGGCCCTTTGACAGGAAATCCCCAGAAAGAAAGTACCATGAAAGAAATTCAGCAGCCGGCCCAGGTATGTGCGGGTATGTTTTAAATCCCATGTGTGGATTCCAACCAGAGGATGGCCGCAGCACAGTGTTGCGGCCTGCATTCCTTGCCAGCAACACATGGGTCAACACACATGATGCGGTTGCAACTATTCTGCATGTATTCAGGATGAGGACTTTTATTTCGATGAGCAGCGGCTCCATGGCCCAATGGTGGAGCAGAGGATTCCAAATCCGAAGGTTGTGGGTTCAAGTCCCACTGGGGTCAATAGGGGTTTTAATGGGTGAGACTCATCACCCAGGTATTTCAAAGTCAAAAAGTAGAACATTAGTGAAACGTTCTATTGTAGGGTCTTCTATGTTTTTCATGCCTGCAAATATTGCAGTATTGGTTAATGCGTGCAGCAGCTATTAAGAGCCTTGCCTAAGCCGGCCCTTGACAGGAAATCCCCAGAACCATTCCATGAAAGAAATTGACAAGGGCAACTGGAGAACGCACTCATTGGGCTTGGGAT